ACTTAACCTTTATATAAAACTCTCTCTCATACATGAGATTTGTTTCTCTAAAGGAGCCAGACTAACGCAACTGATAAACACTCTAAGGCAGATTCTCACACTGCCTTAGAATCTGTTAGCCTTCAAAACTCCAGCTGCCTAGGACCTACCTCAAATAAATAAGAATCTCTGGGGGTGAGATTTAGTCATTAGTATGCTTTTAAGCTCTCCACTTGCTTTAAAGATGTAGCCATGTTGTAGAACCAGTGCTTTAGAACTTCGGTTCTCAACTGGGGATAATTTTGCTGCAGGGCACATTTGGCACAAAGTGGGCACTACTGGCAACTAGTGGAGAGAAGTCAGAGATGCTGCCAAACATCTTTAAATTCACAGGCCAGCCCTCTGCAGCAAATAATTATCCAGCCCCAAACATCAGTAGTGCCCAGTTAAGGAAACAGTGCTCTTGAACAGTGTTTTCCAAAGTGGACAATAGCACTCGCAGGAAGTGCTGGAATGATCCAGAGGTGCTATAAAAGCAGACACCTACACCTTAACTTGGATTGAGGGCTGCAATATAAAGTTTTAATTGTGAGGGGACCACTGAATAATCTTTTTTTTTTTTCTGAAAGGGCACTGTAGGCAAGATAAGTATGGGGATTCATGCAGATAATCAACCTTAAGAAATAAGATATGTCAGAGGGAAGGACAAGGGGGCTTCAAAAACTTTGTGGAAAAATAGAATTAAAAGATAATGGGATTTTCCAATGAACTTTTGGAAACCTATGGTATATGCCTATTGTGAGGAAATCATAGCAGGTAGAGATTTATATTTTTGATTTCCTGACAAAGTGAAAAGAGGGATGTGCTTAAGTAAAGCCTCCTTGAGTCTTTCTGTAGTTGCCCCCAGAGTAGCCAGACAGTTGTGTCCTGGCCTGGCCTTGTGACAGACGGGTATACCTCCTGGTTCTGCTTTCTTGGGCAGGATCTTGCCCATCCTATGGTTCCTTATGTTTATTGCACTTCAATGGCTTGGAAAAGGACCAAAGTTAGGAAAATTAGACCATGGATATCAGCCAATATAAATAATTTTAAGTAAGCTTTTGAACTGCTTATCCTAATAATAGTGCTTTCTAAAATTAGGGAGTGAACCGTTGAAAATGATTATCATGAACTATAAGAAATCTTGCTTTATATGCTATAGACCAGCGGTTCTCAACCTGTGGGTCACAATCCCTTTGGGGGTTGAATGACCTTTCACGGGTTGCTGATCATAACAGTAGCAAAATTACAGTTATGAAGTAGCAACGAAAATAATTTTATGGTTGGGGGGTCACCACAACATGAGTTACTGTATTAAGGATCACAGTATTAGGAAGGTTGAGAACCACTGCTATAGACAGTTCTTTCTGTTCTTCCTACTTTTGATCTTTATAAATGAATGCTAGCAAAGACATTTTTTAACTTTAAAGCAATACATTTTTCTTTAATCTTGAGACATTGAAGAGTGCTTTCATAGTAGGTTAACTAACCGATATTATACTGTATACTTAATACTTTTTCTCCCTTGACACAATTTTCTTGAGTGTGACAAATTCTTGTGGTAGACAAGTTGCTTTTTTACTATGTATGCAGTTGTTAAGTTTAAGGTGTTTAGTCACAGTTGCCACTTTAGTTGAAAGTGCACATTAAATATACACAAAGCAGTTCCCCAAAACTGATGAAAGCAGTTCTTGAAGTTGCTCTGAATTAATGAATTGATCACACACGGGTGATTCTACCACTTGTCTGTCAGTTTGTCTACCTGTGGTGGCTTGTGTGTTCCTGTGATGTTGAAAGGTATGTCACTGGTATTTCAAGTACCACCAGGGTCACCCAAAGTCATCAGGTGTTCACAGAACTTCCAGAGTAAGAACAGACTAACGGCATGCTGCAGGGTTTCAAGTCAGGAAAGGTGAGCATCAGGGTTGTATCCTCTCATCATACTTATTCAACCTGTATGCTGAGCAGGTCACCAGAGAAGCTGAATTATAAAAGAAGACTCCTCCAGCATCAGGATTAGAGGAAGGCTTCTTAACAAACTTTGCTATGCAGATTATGCAATTTTGCTGAAAGCGAGGAGGTCTTGAAGTTCTTGCCGATGCAGATCAAGGATGGCAGCCTTCAGTATGAATCACAAATCAATGTAAAGAAAAGCAGGATCAATGTAAAGAAAATCAATGTAAAGAAAAGCAGTGGGACTAATAGATAACATCATGATAAATGGAGAAAAGATTGAAGTGGTCAAGGATTTAATTTTGCTTAGAAACGGAAACCAGCAGCTCCTTGGGAGAAGACAGGGTTATCTACTCTAGTGAAGAGTTAGTCTCAGAAACTCACAGGGCAACTCTACCCTGTACTATATATAGGTCTCCGCGAGTCAGCATCCATTTGATGGCAGTGAGTTTGGATTTTTGGTTTGGAGCCACAATTCATGCTCATAGAGGTGGCTGTTAGGAGATCAAAGGATGCATCGCATTGGGTGAATCTGCTGCACAGACCTCCTGAAAGGGTTGAGAAGCAAGGATATTACTTTGAAGGCTAGGGTGCACCTGAACCAAGCTATGGTAATTTCAATTGCCTCATATGCATACGAAAGTTGGACATTGAATAAGGAAGACCAAAAAAGAATTGATAAAGTTGAACTATGGTGTTGGGCAGCGGTTCCCAACCTGTGAAAGTTAAGAAAACTGGACCCATGGATATTAGCCAATATAAATAATTTTAAGTAAGCTTTTGAACTGCTTATCCTAATAATAGTGCTTTCTAAAACTAGGGAGTGAACTGTTGAAAATTATTATTGTGAGCTATAAGAAATCTTGCTTTATATGCTATAGACGAGCAGTTCTCAACCTGTGGGTCACGACCCCTTTGGGGGTGGAACGACCCTTTCACAGGGGTCACCCGATTCATAATAGTAGCAAAATTACAGTTATGAAGTAGCAACAAAAATAATTTTATGGAAGAAAAACTATTAAAAAATAAAAAGAAAGAAAATAATTTATGGTTGGGGGGGTCACCACAACATGAGGAACTGTGTTAAAGAGTGGTGTCATTAGGAAGGTTGAGACCCACTGGTGTGGGGGGAGAATATTGAAAGTCCCATGGACTGCCAGAGGAACGGACAGATCTGTTTTGGAAGAAGGAGAGCCAGAATTTTTTTTAGGAGCAAGGATGGTGAGATTTCATCAAACATACATTGGACAGGTTATCAGGAGTGGCCAGTCCCTGAAGAAAGACATCATGGTGGGTAAAATGGAAGGGCAGCAAAAATGAGCGAGGCCCAGGAAAAGGTGGATTCATAAAGTGTTTTCTGTGATGGACACAAACATGAGAGCAATTGCAAAGAGAGTTCAGGACTGGGCAGTGGTGTTTTCTGTGGCACACAGGGTCCCTCTGAGTTACAGGACCTGACAACAACAACAACAACACAGAGTGATTGCCAACTCTTTTGTTTTGGTTGGTGGCATGGTTGGTTTTGCTTTTCAAATTGGTCCTTTAAAGAAATTTCAAGTTGCACCTATAATTCTCTGTGGAAGCCTCTGGTTTTAGAAGTAAATTCATGTATTTAAATCTGTAGATATGCCGGTTTTCTCATTTATTTAGTTAGTTATTTTTGACCTTGTATGAGCACTTAAAGGGGGCCTCGTGGCATTGTCAAGGGTGGTAGCTAAGTTTCATGTCCATTTGGGTGGGCCGGGATTCCCCCATCATTTGAGGTAACAATCGTGAGGCCAACTCCCTGGCAGGGTCTTAAGTGACACAGCAAAGCAGCTATGGGGATAATGTTGCTGTTAAGTGCTGTGAGTCAGTTCCAACTCATGGCACCCCTGTGAGCAACAGAAGGGAACGCTGCCCCATCCCTTGGCTGGGTCTGTATCTTCACCTTGCGAAGCCGTGGTGGTCCTGTCCAGTAAGGGCTGCCCTTCGAATCACAAGGCATGTGGTGCAAAAATTGTCAGCTACTCCAAGGGAGAGAGATAGGGCTATCTGTTCCCATTAAAATGTAGAACCTTGGAAACCCTATATAGGATTGCCATGGATTGGAATTGATTTGATGGGAGTGGATTTGGTTTGAGTTTGCTCTAGAGAGTTCCTGGAATAGGGACCTGTTTGTCTATACATGTAAAAAGGACAGGTTTGATGTTGGGACTAGGGGATTTACTGGGTGGAGGAGTTTTCAAATGTTTGAAGACATGGAAGAGAGATTAGACAGCCTGTGTATCTTCCAGGTATAGAACCACAGCCAACAGACTGAAATATAGGAAAAGAGAGTTCTGGCTTAGTTCATGGATTGTCTTAAGAAAGTTTGATCCCCAGAGGAGGTATACTGGTGCAGATAGGAACTGGAAACACAGGGAATCCAGGACAGATGATCCCTTCAGGACCAGTGGTAAGAGTGGCAATACCGGGAACGTGGAGGGAGGGTGGGATAAAAGGGGGAACCGATTACAGGGATCTATATATAACCTCCTCTCTGGGGGATGGGCAACAGAAAAGTGGGTGAAGGGAGACATTAGACAGTGAAAGATGTGACAAAATAATAATTGATCAATTACCAAGGGTTCATGAGGGAGGGGGGAGCAGAAAGGGAGGGGGAAAAATGAGGAGCTGATGCCAAGGACTTAAGTGGAGAACAAATGTTTTGAGAATGATGATGGCAATGAATGTACAAATGTGCTTGACACAATGGATGGATGTATGGATTGCGATGAGTTGTATGAGCCCCCAATAAAATGATAAAAAACACAAAAAAAGGTTCCTCCTAGACTTTACCTAAAAGTCTAAGAGGATTCAGATAAATCTGAATTTTTAAGTACAAAAAAAGAGAAAGCTCGATCCATTGGTGGGAACATGGCTTCTTTAAAAAAATGTAAGCAATAATTTATGCCCCTGTCAGTACTACACTGAATGACACTGTTGGTGATGGGCAGCTGGGAGGGGCAGTGGAGACTTTAGGGAAGCAGACTGCCACGCCTTTCTCCTGCGGAGCCTCTGGTAGGATGGAACCACCTCGCAGCTGAGTGCTTGGCCATTGCTCCATCAAGTCTCCTTTCCATAGGAATAGGCATCTGTATTCCCTCCTTTCCCAAACCTGCTCAAGCCCAGACTTGCCCTTCTCAGTCAGTGACCCTCCTTTCATAGCTGCCCAGGCCAAGCCCAGGAGGCAGCTCGATTGCTCTCCCTTTAGCAGGCCACACCCAGTCTTACAAGTCCCATCCGTTTTTCTTTCGGAGTGTGTATGACCCAAATCTCACCACTTCCTCTTCTGTCACCACCCTGACTCTTGTCGGTGTGCTCTGTAGTCTTCCGAAACCCCTCTTTGCTCCTTCCCTGCTTCCAGCTTTCCTCCTGTAGGAAGAGGAATTGTATAAAGCACATCACATCATGTCCTTCCCTCTGACCTTCCCACAACACTCAGTAAAGCCCTCACACCCTAGCACAAGCTTGCACTGCTTCCTGCCTGCACTGGGTGATGTGGCCCCTGATGGGCCTTAACATCTTGTCTTCCACCACTTCCTGCTTCTCTCACTTTGATCAGACCACGTTCACCACCTTGCTGACTGTCAATCTTTCCAGTCTTGTTACTGCTGCAGACAGTGAGCCTACCCTTTCCTCCCCTAGCCTGTATTGATTCCCCCCACCTTTCTCAGGTTTCTGCTCAGATGTTACTCAAAGGGGGAAGACCCATCAAGAATCCTCTCCTCCGATTACTCTTGATCAGTGTCTCCTGTATTCGCCACCCCCAAAAGGAAGTCTCTATATCCACTTTATATTTTTCATTTTTCAGAATGCTTCACTAGAACCTTTGTCACTGCTTTATCCCCAGTAGCCAGAACCATAGCCATCATCGATGACCAGTCAGCTTTTAAAAAAAATTATTTTATTGGGGTCTCGGATAACTCTTATCACAATCCATCCATCCATCCATTATGTCAAACATATTTGTATATTTGTTGCCATCATCATTCTTAAAACATTTTCTTTCTACTTGAACCCTTGATATCAGCTCCTCATTTTTCCTCTACCCTCCCTCCCTCATGAACCGTTGATAATTTATAAATTATCATTTTTTCATGCCTTACACTGTCCGATGTCTCCCTTCACCCACTTTTCTGTTGTCCGTCCCCCAGGGAGGGGGTTATATGTAGATTGTGATCGGTTCCCCTTTCCCCCCACCCCCCACCTTTCCCATTCCCTCCTGGTATCTCTACTCTCATAATTGGTCCTGAGGGCTTTATCTGTTTTGCATTCCCTGTGTTTCCAGCTCTTGTCTGTACCAGTGTACATCCTCTGGGTCTAGCTGGATTTGTAAGGTAGCATTGGGATCATGATAGTGGGGAAAAGAAAGCATTAATGAACTAGAGGAAAGTTGTATGTTTCATTGGTGCTATACTGCACCCTGACTGGCTCATCGCCTCCCCGCGACCATTCTGTAAGGGGATGTCAAGTTGCCTACAGATGGGCTTTGGATCTCCACTCCACACTCCTCCTCATTCACAATGATAGATTTTTTTGTTTTTTGATGCCTGATACCTGATCCTATCAACACCTTGTAATCACCCAGGCTGGTGTGCTTCTTCCATGTGGGCTTTGTTGCTTCTCAGCTAGATGGCCGCTTGTTTATCTTCAAGCCTTTAAGACCCTAGATGCTATATCTTTTGATAGCCAGGCACCATCAACTTTCTTCACCACATTTGCTCATGCACCCGCTTTGTCTTCAGCAATCGTGTCAGGAAGGTGAGCATCATGGAACGTCAGATTAATAAAACAAAGTGTTCTTGCATTGAGAGAGTACTTGAGTATAGGCCCAATGTCCATATGCTACCTTAATACTAAACCTACAAGTATATGTACATAGATCTATTTCCTTATCATCATATATAAATATATTTAAATATGTACATGCCTATATTTAGACCTCTATAAATGCCCTTTGCCTCCTAGTTCTTTCCTCCATTTCCTTTTACTTTCCTCTTCTTTCACTATGATGTTCAGCCTTCATTTGGGTTTCAGTAATTCCTCTTGGGTACATTGCCCTTGATCAAGCCCTACGAGGCCTCCTACATCCTTTTTGCCATAAATTTTAGATCACTTGCAGTTCCCTTGTCCTTGGGTTTGTTAACACTCACTTCCTCCCCCTCCCCCCAACCTCCCTCTCTACCATGTGCCCCTGGAACCATCAGTCCGTTGTTTTCTCCTCCGGATTATTTATCCCGCTTATCTTATCTAGATAGACTTGCAGAGATAATCATATGCATAAAAAACAAGGCAGAGCAAAGCAAAGCAGCAAATGAAAACAAAACAACAACAACAACAAAAGCCAACTACAGAAAAAGAAAAGGCTGTAAATAGTTCAAAGTCTGTTAGTCGCCCTTTAAGAGTGTTTTCCAGTTGAGTCTGATGGGGTGCCACGCCCGAGCCCCAAAGTCTATTTTTGGTATTTCCTGGAAACTTCATTGCTCTGGTCCCTTTGCTGTTCTGTTGCTTGCCCTTAGTGTTTTGCTTCGGTGTGGTGGGGTCAGATCGGGCACAATTCCAGTACTGTGTCTCAAGTGTTATCCCTCGTAGTGCTATGGGTTGGTAAGGGACGTTGTGTCTTGTAGTGGGGCCAGCCCTGTGGTCCTCTCTGTGCATTGGCTGCTTGGAGCAGGAATATCATCCTCAAGGCTTGGTGGGCCAGGATGTTCTCTTCTCACTCTCCTCCCCCTTCATTTACTCCTGTGTGCTCTGATCAGACATGTCCCTCTCCCTGAGCTGTAGCTTCAGTGCTGTCCTTGAAATGACTTCTTCTGCAGGGAGCGGGATCTGTCCACGTAGTTGGGATTGGGGCCCGCCCCTCAGATCTCTATGGCCAGTCAGCTTTTGATCGAATGATGAAAATGATGACATGCTATTCCTTGAGGCTAGGTCCCCAGCATCGGTATGTTCTCACTTCTCTGGTCCGTAGCCCTTTCCCCACAGCCAGGGTCTACTGCTCAGTTTATCTGAGAACCTGTTCCCTCCCTGCTGCCTGTCATTTAGCCCCTGTTTTCTCACAAATGACTCCAGAAATACCAAGAGTGGAAGGCACATAGAGCAGCAACTGGCATGTTAGTGATAGCTGTATAGAAACCTGGAAGACATGTTCTACTTCACTCCAATTTCGTGAGTCCTCAGCTCCCTCCCTGACAGCTCAGTGGAAGTCCAGGCTGCGCCCGTTTCCTGCACACAAGCTTTCCCGCCACAGTCCCATCTCGTGATCTTCCTTCTTCCTGTCTCTCTGCTCCTCCTCAGTCTCCGTTGAAGGCTGCTTCCTCTTCCTCTCCCTTGTTGTTGGGTGCTGTCCAGTCCGTTTAAAAGAGTGACCTCGTGTGGCAGAACAGAACGCTGTCCTAGGTCCTCATGTGGGCAGGCCTGCAGATCCTTGTCCTGAGGAGCAGGTGGTGCGTGCAAACGGACAACTTCTCATTAGCAGCCACGCACTTAACCATTCACCACGAGGGCTCCTGCCCATTCTTTAAACACTGATGTTTCTTAGGCTTTCTGCTCTTATTCCATTCCTGGCTTGGGTGATTCCATCCATTCCTAGACATTTTGATTTTATTTTTTTACACGCTGAAGACACTTTCCATTTCCGGTCTAATCAGCAAATTCTAGAAATGTAAGCCCAACTATCAAGTGTTCACCTGTACTTGGATATCTTGCAAGCAGCTTAAATATGAGGTGAAGGAAGATGAACTTGTCTTCTCTTTCAGTTTTCTTTTCAGTAGTTGGAGCTTTGGGCTGTATAGAAATCTAGAGGCGTCTTGCTCTGCCTCACTCCCATGTCTAGACAATGGCCAATAATGTCAGTTCTCCCACTAAATAGCTGGAGAAGCTCACTGTGCTTGTCCCTGCCGACTGCCACGAACCAAGACCAGGCGACCACCCTTAGCCTCTTATCTAGATTACTCTGAGGGCAGGCAGCTGGCCCTTCTGCCTCTAGTCTGACTTACGGTGTCACGATTACTCTTTATACCATGCCAGTATGATCATGTCATGTCTTATTTAACACTCTCTATTAGAGTTCTGACACAGGATACCGACTTTTTGGTAGGGCTTAGACTATCGTCAGTAATCTGTTCCCTAACTACTGCACTTCCTTCTTGGCGTTTGTTGAAGTATTTCCTTCTCTTCAGTTTAATCTCTCTTCCCCACAATGCACACACAAGCACACCTCCTCTAGCCGCTGTGTTCATCATTGTATCCTAGGGCACAGGCCCCAGTCAGGCCTCTGTAAACATTTGCTGAATGAACAGGAGGAGATAGTGGTCCTGCATTGTGATCGTCAGGATCTTCTTTGTATTTAAAGTGGAATTTTTCATTTTGTGTCCTAGTGCGGTGTATGTGTGGCTCTTGATTCCATACTTTCCAGAGACTTATTAAAAAGTGGAACTGGAGGAAAGTACGTAGGATGCTCTTAGCAAACAGGCTTTAAGTTTCATTCTTTAAAGTGCTGTTGAGAGCTGAGATTAGGACGCTACTAGACACAGTGATCTAGGAACCAAACAAATCACCTTGTGACGGCATGTCCAGCAGGCGGGAAGACTGGCTCAGTAGGCCTCTGTGGTTGAACTTTTCCCACTAGGGCCTGTGTCAGACTGGCTCAGATTATATACCCAAGACTTGTTGTGACTTGTCCAGAATGTTTATTAAATTTTCAAACCTGTTTGGGAAGAAAACTTGAAACAACAGCGTGTTTAGGTTTGATGCAGTAAATCTTATTGAGAAGAAATTAAAAAGAATATAATTGCGTGTAACCCGCAATCACATAGGTGGGGCTGTTGGTCTCTGTTGAATGAATCTCAAGAACAATTGGGAAACTGTTTTCCTTAGAAGATCCAAACCTGGTGTTTCAAGCCTCCCCCGCAGGACTGGGAGGCCCCAGGGTGACGTCTTAAAGTCTCCATCTGCTCAGAACTCCTATCTTGACTTCTTCCTACAGAGGATCAGAGGGCTCTGACTAAGACCGTGCTGAGTCACAGGGAGACGCGAACAAGGAATGACACACTTCCTGTCTTGTTTTGTTTTGTTTTCTAATGGTTTTGCTTTGAAGATTCCCTGAAGAGACAGAAGCTGGCCGTAGCAATCCCTTGATCAGAAGTACTTACTTACTTTCATGACAACGTAGAAAATCCACCCTGCTCTTGAAACTCTTCTGACACAGATTCTTAAAAACCTTCTATTTCTTATAAAAACACTCTGTCTTCATGATGTGTATTTGTGAACTATACTTTGCTCCAGTCATAGAAAAGAAAGTCCTCAATTTCACAACCTAAAAAAAAAATCATATTACACTGAGTATCTTTCTGGACTCTCTTCTAATACCTATAATTTTTCTCTATAAAAATTATATACGGTTTACTATATAGTCATATACCACATAATGCCTACTAGGGTAACATCTAACCACATAAATATCCATGGCCCCAAACCTTGACAACCTATATTATAATAGAATTTTCGGTACATACACTGAGCCGTACAACGTACAGGTGGTACCTTGCTATATGCATCAAACCATTATAACTATTGTAGTACTGTGTTCAAGATAATGTTCTTGTCTCTGGAAGTGTTTGCTGTTTTGTTTTTGTTTTTAACATTTTATTAGGGGCTCATACAACTGTTATCACAATCCATACACACATCAATTGTGTAAAGCGCATTTGTACATCATTCTCAAAACATTTTCACTCCACTTAAACCCCCGACATTAGGTCCTCATTTTTCCCCTCCCTCCCTGCTCCACCCTCCCTCATGAGCCCTTGATAGTTTATAAATGGGTATTTTGTCATATCTTGCCCTGTCCAACGTCTCCCTTCACCCACTTTTCTGTTGTCCGTCCCCCAGGGAGGAGGTCACACACAGTTCCATGTAATCGGTTCCCTCCTTCCTACCCATTCTCCCTTTACCCTCCCTGTTTCGCCACTCACACCACTGGTCCTGTAGGGCTCATCCACCCTGGATTCCCTGGATTTTCAGTTCCTATCTGTACCAGTGTACATCCTCTGGTCTAGCCAGACTTGCAAGGTCGAATTCGAGTCATGGTAGTGGGAGCGGGGAGGAAATATTTAGGAACTAGAGGAAAGTTGTATTTCTCATCGTTGTTACATCTGTTTGCTGTTTTTATGTATAGAAAGTACGCTGTTATACCACTGTCTATTGAGAGAAACATTTGACTAACTGATGTTAGATGCCAACAGAAACCTAAATGTTCTAATTTACATCCAAATTCAACTTAAAGGCAGGTTTTTAAACACAATCTAGTCTTAATCCAGGGACTGCCTGTATATAAAATCTTATTTGCACAATGTCCAAATCACATAAAACCCTATTTTACAGAGCCTCTTGTGGATGTTAAGCAAAGCATGACTGTAATTTCTCAATTTTTATGTACTATTTTACAACCTTCCTAAATAGATCCTATGGTATTAATTAGGTTACAGATCATCTTTAAAGATGTGCCATCTTATGGATTTGCTTAGCCAATCCCTTATTAGGGCAGGTGGGCAGTCTTCTGGGTCCAACATTGCATTGTACTGCAATGAACTTCCCTGCCCCACACTCTCCACACTTGTCTCCAGTCCTTTGGCTATATTCCTAGAAGTAGTTCAAAGGCATGTAAAGTTTTCATGCTTTTGCCTTGCTGATACTTTACCTTCAAGATATTTATCATGTTTCACATTCCCACCATGTCATATAAATGTCTTATCGTACGTCACAAGACCCTACGTAGTCTGGCCCGTCTAATTCAACTGCGTGTCACCTTCTTCTTCTTCTTCTTCTTCTTCTTGCTTCTAGTACTGCAGCCACACCACACTGCTCACCTTGGCATTCTTTTCACTGGAATGTGCCTGGTGGGGCCTGTCTCAGGCTGTGGCACATGCTTTTCCATCTGCCACGCTCTTTTCCCCTGAATCTTGACTAGCTCTCAGCTCTGATGCTGTCGGTATGATGATGGGTCGTCATCAGAATCCCTGTTCATTTCCATCCTAGCACCTATCACAATGTGTGTTGTTGTTTATTGCTGTCTACTTGCTTCTCACTCAAGGTGACCCCATGTGTGCAAAATAGACATGCTTCATGGAGTTTTTAAGACTGTGAACTATTGGCAGCAGATTGTCAGACCCTAAATTCAGAGGTGCTTCCGGGTGGACTTGAACCACCAATTTGAAGTCAAGTACTTAACCATTTGTGCCACCTACAGACTCTGTCACAAACTGTAAATTTTTATGTTATGGTCTGCCATTTCTTTCTCCCACTGAATGCCAGGTTTTTGTTGTTGTTAGTTTTTTAGGACAGGTGACCTTGTATGTTTTTTATTCTCCATGGTTGCTCTCACCATCTAATTCAAAACCTAGCACTCAGTAGAAACTAGATGAATGCAAGTTGGTTTTCTTGGATGCTTGTTGATTTTGTTGGCTTGAATTGTGCAGTCCGATAGGACCAATGTGATATATATGTAAATGTATACCACTACCCATCTTTTGAGGCAAAATATGGTAATTGCTATAAGAATGTCCCCAAATGGCATAGGGACACACAGGAGTGGGTGCTGACTTCTGGATATGGGTATCATGAAAGACTTTGTCTGAGCTGAACCTTGGAGATTGGACATGTTTTGTGGACGGTGATGGCAGAAAAGACAGAGGTGCTGAGCAAAGTGTGTGAGCAGATGAGCAGAGGTAGACTATAAGAAAATATAGAGACCGGCTCTTATAGCACAGATCGAATGGGTTCGAGAGGGACAGGATCTATAATGAGAAAACTTATAGATAAGAAAAAGGACAGATGCAGTTGAGACACAGGGGACCCTGCACTAGAGACACTCCAAGACCCCTAACTTTATAAGAGGCAGGCTTAAATACCATTCCTGCATGTAGCCTGCAACTCATGGCAAGATTACACAATGGGATCGTTCACAATTCTTTGAAGGTTTACAAAGAATCATCAGCCAAGTTACTCACCAATGACAGGGGAGGATAAGGTTGGGAACATGAAGTAATTGCTAAGTTTGCTGACTGCTGTCTTGTGCAGCTTTAGTCAGGGAACAGGAGTCAAGTGTCCGTTTATCTCAGGTGGAGAGACAGGCCAGCCATTGCTTCATCAACTCCTGAGTCTGAGCCATCAGCATTCTCCCATGGGCCATGAACCGTAGAAGTGGTGGTCCTGTTCCATTTGCCTAAGGGGCAAACAACTTTACCCTCACAGTAGACTGATGCAAAACTCCAGGGGACACGACTGGGGACAGCCGTGAATACTGTGCTACAAGTTTGGACCTTTTTTCATGAGCAGCACAGAAGCGCTACCTAATTCTCACCAGAAAGTGACCAAGTTAAGTGGAGGTTGGACCACCTCCTAAACTCAGTTCTAGTTTCATGCACAATGTCATGGCGGTAAGAGCTGTGGATTGAGATAAGTCATCAGACATCGAAGTGGAAATTCAGACAAGAAAATAAAGCCTGAAGCCTACTTCTGAAAAAGAGGAGCTGATACCAAGCAAGGGCTCAAGTAGAAAGTAAAGGTCTAGAAATGATGATGGCAACATATGTACAAACATGCTTGATACAATCGATGTATGTAATGTTTTAAGAGCTGTAAGAGCCCCCAGTAAAATGATCTTTTAATAACAAATACAGAAATAAAAAAGAAAAGAGTCAGGAGAAGGAACAGTTCTGAAGTGGGGAAGCATCAGAAGGTGGTGGCTGGCAGAGGAAGGACGAGGCCTGTGAGGCCACTGTGGTGGTAAGTCTGTCTACCCAGACCTGGAGCCCAGAAAGACAGCTGATTTGGGATGAAGAAACAGGTTACTTTCTGCCAGTGCACCCTGTGTGGGGCCAGTGAACATTCTCTAGGCTGCACGAGCCCATGTGCCCTCCTTTGTCCCGATGGGCTGGAGTGACAGGGCTAGAGGAGGAAAGACAGAAATATATAGCAGCGTGGACTTGGAGTCCCCCCCCCATCTGTAAAAGTGGGGCTGCGTCAATGGAAAGGAAAATGGGGCTCTGACCTCTGTCCAGGGCATGAGATGTAGTTTGCTGGAAAAGACACCTCCCAGGTTACTGTACGGAAGGCACTTGTTTTCTGTCAGCTGTGCCGTTAGGTGACTGTGAGCATGTTGTCAGGCTGCGGAGGGTGGGGGTGGAAGACATATGCTGATTGTTGTGTGTGAGCATGTGGGCTTTGGGTACAGAACTGGATGCCACATTGCCAGTTCTCTGACGACAGTAAAAATGTGTGTGTGAAGTGGGGCAGGGGGTGGTGGTGGCGTGGAAACAAAGGAAATTTTATTTAGGGTCTCTCTAAAGTGAAACCTTTCTGGAGAATTTTTTTTTTTAACATTTAGGTTGCCAGCTGGGCACAATTAGAGATGACAAAGCTCCTTGTCTTCTAACCTGGGCATGGAGAGTAGTAGCGAGATGCTTTGCTGACTTCTCAGGAATGCTGTCTTTGGAGGGTTTCCTGTAATCTAAATGGAAATGCGTGTGGGGGCCGCACAGAGGAGAACGTAGAGTGCGGTGAATGAGAATGACCAGGCAAACCACCAGATGACTGGGTGGCGGGAGGAAGAGGATCAGAAAAGTCAAAACGGGGGAAAACAACCAACAAAACGGTAAGTATAGTGGGAATCCAGCTTGGGAAATAGCATGTGTTGCTGAATTAGCTAGAAATTCTAGAAACCGAATAGAGAAATTGACTCTCTAGCTCCATAATTTTTCTTGGCACACTGAGGGTTTAATCAGTTTCGTATTTTAATACTGGAAATTACGTTCAGTTTTACATGAGGGCTTGCAATGGAGGGATATTATAAAGTGCTGGAACTCTGTTTATGTTCAGCTCAGTAGAAAATAAACCACAGGCAACTGCTGGGATATTTATTGCAGCAGGCACCAGTACTTCTTTGCTTTGTAAATGCTAATTTAGTGCTTTCATTCGTGGTGCGCATGTGAAGGAGGATTAGAGCCTCAGTTATAGAAAGACCTACATGGATGCTCTTTGTGAAGGCTAAGATGTGGTGTCCACAGCTGTACAGCTCCCCAGATAGCCATGTGATTTTTGGACCCACCTTTAACCTTCTTAGGTTGCCTTCTTTGCCTCACTTGTAAAATGAGGCTAGATGACACCTGAGGTGTAGCCAAGGCTGAAGTTAGGTGATTTGAAGAGAGACAAGATAGTCTTTTTTTCCCTTATAAAATTCATACCTAAAATGAATACCTGAAACAGAGGAACGCAAATACGTGGCAAGAAGTCTAATTTTTTTTGTGTGTGTGCATC